TTTTTTTTATTTTTCTTTTTCCCTTTTTCAACCAACATCTTATCAATCCGTTTTTAAAAAAAAAAACATTTTTTATTTTTCATTTTTAGAGTCATATTTTATCCCTTCATAGTAGTTACCCTTATTTTTGGCATATATATATAAGTTGTTCTCTCTTTAAAATTTTGAGGTACAGTTTCTTCTAACAGATCAAAATATACCCTAAATCACTAGTGTATGGCTTTGTTCTAGTCTCCTGCCTGATCACATTCTCTCCCTATTTCCTTTTTTTTTCTTTTCTTAAAACTTCTTTCTTTTTTCAAACAACTTATCTTACCAAGTCCTTTTATAAAATCTTTTATAATTTTCATCTTTACACTCATCTGTGTAAAGTGTGGGGGTGTCTCAAAAAATTAAAAATAGAGCTACCCTATGACCCAGCAGTTGCACTCCTGGGTATTTACCCCAAAGATACAGATGTAGTGAAAAGAAGGGCCATATGCACCCCAATGTTCCTAGCAGCAATGTCCGCAATAACCAAACCTTGGAAAGAGCCGAGTTGCCCTTCAACAGATGAATAGATAAAGAAGATGTGGTCCATATATACGATGGAATACTACTCAGCCATCAGAAAGGATGAATACCCAACTTTTGCATCAACATGGATGAGACTGGAGGAGATTATGCTAAGTGAAATAAGTCAAGCAGAGAAAGTCAATTATCATGAGGTTTCACTTATTTGTGGAACATAAGGAATAGCATGGAGGACATTAGGAGAAGGAAGGGAAAAATGAAGGGGGGATGGAATTGGAGGGAGAGATGAACCATGAGAGGCTATGGACTCTGAGAAACAAACTGAGGGTTTTAGAGGGGGGGGGTGGGGGATAGGTCAGCCCGATGATGGGCATTAAGGAGGACACGTATTGCATGGAGCACTGGGTGTTATACGAAAACAATGAATCGTGTATCACTACATCAAAAATTAATGATGTACGGTGTCTAACATAACATAATAAAATAAAAATTTTTAAAAAAGAAAAAAATAAAAATTTGCAATGATATTAAAAAAGTATTAGGGAATTTGGGGGGATAGGAAGTATTCTCATTACTTAGGCCATGATTGCAAAATGTGGCCCCGGGGTGACCCACTGCCTGCTTTTGTAAATAAAGTTTTATTGGTACACAGCCACATCCATTCATTTATGTCTATAGCAGCAGTTACATTATAAAGACAGGGTTGAATAGCTGCAACAGAGCCCATATGGCCTGCAAAGCCTGAAATATTTACCCTCTACAGAAAAAGTTTGCTAACTTCCAACTTAAAAGAGACATCCATGTCATGGGGAGTTGGTATGTGGTTTAAATAAGTAAAGTGCCCATCATGACACTGGATGCATAGGGGGACTTACTTTAGAAACTAGATATTTCATTAATTTTGGGATTGACGCCTTTAAACAAACACATACTCCTCTGACCTGAGTTCCCTGATCTGCAAAAGGTATGATGATTACTCCTATTTTATAGGTCATACACTTGAGACTGAGGATTAAAGCAATTTCCCCAAAAGTTGTACAGCTACTTAATTAGAGTTGAGATGGAACACAAAGTCAAGTTCTCCTGGACCTCAAATTCTTACCCATCTCTCACATGAATGATGCTATAGAGAAAAGAGACATGATATTCAGGCAGGACACGGAAGTTCTTCCCCTCTGAGAAGCCTATGGCCAGCTTCTCTTCCAAGATATGCATACTCTTTCAGTAATGCCACTCTTTCTACAAGCCCAGAATCACCTGTGCATTTGACGTTCCGGTCTGTGAAAGTTTTTTCTCCTGTGGTTGAGACATACCCTTCTAAGCAATGACAGTAGTATTTTTGTTTCTTGAAGACACAGGAAGCAGAAGCATGGCAGGGATGGGCTGCACATGGATCTGTAGGGAGAGAGAAGAAGGCAGCTCTGTGGGTTCTGTTTTTTATTCAATATTTAATCAATCTAATCCTACTCGAAGTCCTGTCTCTTAAAATGTCAACAAATGACTTTACTCACTTGCTAGTGAGTTAAAAAAATTCTTTCTTCTAGGACTTTTCCTAGATGCACTTTAAAAAGTTTCTTGGAGTTAGTTAATAAGCTGGCTAAATCAGTGGAATTCTGTTATTGATATGTTAGACAAACAACTTACCATCCCTGCCATCTCCTACCTCTAAGTTCATGCACAAAGAAAGATAGAATACCACATGTGACCTTTCCCTGCCCCACATGCATAACCAGACCTAATTATGGGGAATTCTCAGACAAACTCAATTGAGGCACATGCTCTAATCTAACTGCTTTATCTCGACAAAAATGTCAATGTCATGAAAGAAAAAGAAGGGCTGAAAGTAACTGTTCTAGACTAAAGGAGATTAAAGAAACATAATAACCAAATATAATGCCTACGTGATTGAAGAATAAATCCTAAATTTGAAAAAAAAATGCATTACTGGAACAATTGAAAATTTTTTGACAATGGACTTAAATTAAATAATAGAATTGTATCAATGACAAATCTCCTAAATTGACCTTGTGCTATGTAAGATCATGTCCATGTTCTTAGTAGATAAATGCTAAGGGATTTAGGGGCATGATATCCACAATTTATTTTCCAATGGATTAGGAAAAAATATATATATAGATATGTATATAAATATTTATGACCATTATATAATCTCAATGTGACACATAGCTAAGTTGAAGATATATCTATATTGTATGTAGATAGGTTAATCTTAAAAGTACCAGTTATTTTCCTGGCAAAAATGGGTTTATTTGGAATGGAAGAGCATTGCAACCGGGGACACACAAGCTAGTGCATAAAGCAGAGGCAAGGCCTCTGTCCACTAAACAAAGGAGGAGACTGCCGTTTTAGAGAGGAAAGAGGAAGTTGGGCGGGGCTATTCTACACAAAAAGTCCATTGGAGTAAACTGGGAGTTTGAAGTATAGTGGCTTCTCATTGGCTGAGCTGTGACTGTCTCCCATTGGCTGAGCTGTGACTGTCTCTCATTGGCTCAGCTGTGGCTATCTCTCATTGGCTGGGCTGTGACTTGAGAAGTGGTATATATACACAATGGAATATTATGCAGCCATCAAAAAAAAATGAGATCTTGCCTTTTGCAACGACATGGATGGAACTGGAGGGTGTTGTGCTGAGTGAAATAAGCCAATCAGAGAAAGACATATATCATATGACCTCGCTGATATGAGGAATTTTTAACCTCGGGAAACAAACTGAGTGTTGCTGGAGTGGTGGGGATGGGAGGGATGGGGTGGCTGGGTGACAGACATTGGGGAGGGTATGTGCTATGGTGAGCGCTTTGAATTGTGCAAGACTGTTTAATCAGAGATCAGTACTTCTGAAACAAATAATGCAATATATGTTAAGAAAAAAAAAGAAGAAGATAGCAGGAGCAGAAGAATGAAGGGGAGTAAGTCGGAGGGGGAGACGAACCACGAGAGACGATGGACTCTGAAAAACAAACTGAGGTTTCTAGAGGGGAGGGGGTTGGGGGGATGGGTTAGCCTGGTGATGGGTATTAAAGAGGGCACGTTCTCCGTGGAGCACTGGGTGTTATGCACAATCAATGAATCATGGTACACTACATCAAAAACTAATGATGTATGGTGATTAACATAACAATAAAAAAATTAAAAAAAAACCTCATGATGTACTATATGTTGACAACCTGACCATAAAATGATTTTCTTTAAAAGCCATTGAAACATGAAAACTACAAGTCCCTAGACTTCCTTCTGTTTCTCTGACTGAAATGATAACAGAAAAATAGCTCAAGCTCTAAAATTATATTGTATGAAATTATGGATGCACAAGAATCAGTTTCCTCTGAGCTTTGATAATTACATTTTAAATAGAGTACTGACATGCTGCTATTATAATATTAAAATGCTAAGATAATCAAATGCTCAAAAGGGGTATTCTGGGCTTCTAAGAGATTTTGTAAATGTTATTAAAATTTTTACTGTGTTTCAATTACATCATAAGAAGATTATTATTATGTGTATGTTTCTGTTCATATCTAACCGGCAATCTTTTTGACACAGATAAAATTATTGCCATTGTATCTATTTAATAATATTGATTTTAAAAATAAAAAAAAGAAAATGTCAGGCAAAATGGAAAACTGTCTTCTCATTCCACCCTTATACGAATCTGGGCATAGTCTTTCATATGAACATAGTACAGAAGTTGTGGAATAATAGTCAATGGAACTGCACAAAATTGTCAGTATTGGCCACTCTGGACCTACAAAAATGGCAATCAGGGTAGCCTATCTTAATTAACCAAGAGTTGCAGAGCTCTTAGGAATGATGCCAAAGTTTAGAGTTGTCTGTTGAGGCTATGGGGGAAAGACGATATCCTGATGGACTGTGCCCTGTTGCGCTGGGCACTCCCATCCAAATATACTGGGTAGTGATTAAAAAGAGCTTGCTTTTGGTTTCAAGTGCCAACATACCATAGCCTGAAGAATCTTGTGTCCTCATGACAAAGACCAAGCAAGAAAGCCCTGAAAAAAATAAAAGGAAGGGATTAACATTTCAGGAATCTTCCTTAAATCCTTCAGTGGGCTTCTGAATATCCCTGTCAACCTGCTTGTTTCTCCCAGGGATAGTACTTGATTTACAACATAGAACTTACTGTCTTGACTACAAAGGAGGGTAACATGTTAAATATAGGTAAAATTATCATTTCCATAGATCCCACTCCTATTAGCAGAATAGTTTGTTCATTTAAATAGATTCAGTTTCCTTTCTCCTAAAAATATGTGGATACATTTCATTAAGGTTTTAATCAATTTTATAAAACTGACAAATGCTAGCAAACTTAGTAAAATAGTCTCTTCTTTGGAAGCTGCTAAACACTTACATCTGGTTTAAGTTGGTGTGGCTGGAGGCTGACTTAAAAAGACCAACACAAAATAAATTATTACTACTCATACATACTGGAGAGAAAAGGTGTGGGGAAATATAGACCAGGATGTGAAGAGTGGTCATTTCTAGGTAGTTTTCAATTTTGCTTATCTGCATTTTCTAACTTTTCCTAGAATAAACATGGTTACTTACATAGTGACTTATATTCTCTTTTCAGAGAATATAAAATGATATTGGGAATAGAAGCTGTGAGAGAGTTCAGCTTTTGAGAAAAATATCATATGCCTCACCACCACCACCACCAACCCCATCAATACAGAAATCTTACCTTTTTGGTGACACTCATGAATTTTATTCAGGGTGGCCACCTGGTTATATTGAAAACAAAGTAAGTTCTGCTCTTTAAGCAAAGAGCTTGGTTGCCCTAGTAGTGAAAACCCCTCCTTATCTTTTTTGTATGAGTCATTCTGGTTGTTCTGATGAAACCATTAGACCCAGACAGTGTTCCTATTTCCCAAGTCTGCCAACTCAACCGCTGAGGAAGGTCATCAAAAAGACGTGACTGCCAATTGACCTATGAGTTGGACCCAGACACTCAGAGGCTCCTCACTTCCTCACCTGTCTTTGCAAAGGGGGTTCTCCTTGCCTTTCCTGCTTCCAGAGGCTGTTTCAAGGACATCTCCTTGAGATAGTGATGTGGTGTATGCATGACTGAGCCCAGTTAAGGCTCCTCTCTCTATATGTAGACTTACAAGATTTGGTGGGTGGGTGTGGGGATCCATTTGTCTTGCTATTGCCCAAGACAAACTCCACATGTAAGTTCCCTTTGCTTATTGAAACTGCCATCTCCCAACCTGGACTGGCCAATCTCCTTCTTCAGTCTCTCTGCCCTGGAGTAATGGGCCCTGTTTCAGATGACACCTGAGAACTTCCAGAAAGGGAAAGTTGTCAACCAATATCAACTCCACAGTCAGTATAAGGGGAACAGCCCCCTCCCCTACAGCCCAGCAGGTAGGGGCCAGCTCAATGTTACTGAGAGGTAGCTGGACTCAGGTATCAGTGATGGGTGTGGTTCCTGCAGAGCTAGAGTGCCTTCCCCCGGTGGAACTGAACAGACTGACCACTCCCTGCTCACCTTGCCCTCTAACTCTGGCTTAGATTTTACCAGGGGGAAGAGTAAAGAGGAGAAGAATAAACAAGAGAGCATACGGGAAGGTGGAACATGTGAACCCATCAGTGAGGGTGAGGTTCTGTGGTGGCTGAAGAAGCAACGTGTCCTCTCCTGAATCTGACTGTGGATTCCCAAATTCAACCTCTCTGTTGAAGCTTGTCTCATATCCATCCAATTCAATCATGGTTCTGAAGCTGACCTCATAAAAGCAGACAGTAGAATGGTGGTTACCAGGGGCTGAGTGGACAGGGGCGAACATGGGGAGATGTTGTTTAAGGGCATTAACTTGGAACTAGTAGAGATTGAATGCACAGCATAGTGAGGATAGACAACAGAACCATAGTATAAACCTCAAGGCTGCTGACAAACTAGATCTCATTGGTTCCCATGACAAACAAGAAGTGGTGCTTATGTGATGCCACAAGATGTTAGCTAAAGCTAAGGTGGTCATCATACTGCCATATATAAATGTACCAAATCAACATGGGGTACACCTCAAACTTACACAATGTTACGTACCAATTATGTCCCAATAAAGCTTTTAAAAATTAAATTTAAAAATAGTGTATTTATGCTGAAAGCTACAGCAGAGCAGGTGCACAGGGAAACAGTTATCACCAAGAGTGATACCTAGTGTTGAGTAAGCATTAACCTCTGATAAGCACTTTCCAGGTACAACCATCTCATGGATTTCCCCTGACATTCTCAAGAAGCAGAGTCTCTTCTCAGCCCCATTTTACAGCACAGGCATCTGAGGGTCAGTGGTTCTGGAACTTGCCCGAGATAACACAATGGGGAAGCAACAAAGCTCAACCTCTGACTAGGCTACACCCCCACTCATTGTTTTCATTAAGCACTCCTTCACAACCTTGGTTTGTGAGATCTTATTGCTTTAATTAACACTATATTCACTACACCAACAGTCCCGGGGACCAGAAAGTGTCCTGTTTTGTGCCAGAGAGAGAGGAGAGAATGTGCATAGTGTGATTCCCTCACTGTCCATTTGGGATAGAGTCTTTTAACAGGACACAGAGAAATCAATTCTCTTTAGACTCTATTTATATGACTCAGGACTCCCTGAAGAGGCTAATGGATTGGCCCCAAACTCTCCCCAAATTCCAAATCCTCTGTCAACTTCAGATGTTCATATATACATGCTGACAAGTCCAGAGATGGGAGATATTCCATACTGAAACTTAAGAAAAAAATCAACTACATCAATGGTCAAAAATTTCATGGAGATTTTGAGTTTGCTGCCAATGAGTCTCCCCATGAGGCTTTCTGCCCCCCAAATTTGGTGCATTTTTGTTGTTGTTGCTTTAGCTCATGTAATTTATTATTATTTTTTTAATTCTCATGCCTTCTTTCAAGTAGGATTCCTCAGTCTCGGCACTATTGACATTTTAGCCGGGATAATTCCTCAATGGAGGGACTGGCCCATGCACTGGGGGGTGTGGGGTGGCACCCCAGGCCTCCACCCACTAAATGCCAGGCACACCCTTGCCCTGAGTCATGGCCACCAAAACTGTCTGCAAACATTAGTGGGTGTTTGGTCCCCTGTGGGGACACCAAACCACCCCCATTTGAGAACCACTGCTTTCTATTTTGTCTTTACTTCCAAAGACATTAGACATTGTAAAGTAAAGCAATAAAAACCATTGAAATATTGGCTGTATCTATGTGAACACACACTTAGAAATCCAGACATGCCCGTCTCAGGAGATAACCCTCAGGCCAGCCCTCCTCCAGCTCAGCTGAATACTATAGCTGTTCTAGAATCAAAGAAAATAAGACATTGAACACTCACCACACAGAAGTAAGCTTGTGCTCTTGGCCATACCTCCCCCAGCTTCTAACTGATAACTGATAACACAGAGGGAACTGTAGAGTCTCATATCCTATTTCTCAAGGAGTCTTGGGGGTTTCAAGAGGAACACAGTCTGTTGGTTAATTTCCACGGGTCAAGTCAAAGTCTAATTAAAGGCAACATCATGAATACAAACCTCTATAGGCCATTGATATCTACATCATGCTCACTGCAGAATTCTCTGGTCACGTAGTCAGTCACACATCAGACCCAGAAATAAGGACCAAGGAGTAAGGCATCACTGACTTTGGGGCACTAATCAGCCAAGCCAGCAACCACCCTGCCAATGCTGCATGCTTGGCAACATTTTAAAACATATCTACATAGGGGAAGGGAGGGAAAACTGAAGGAGGGGGAATCAGAGACTGAGACAAACCATGAGAGACTATGGACTCCAGGTAACAAACTGAGGGTTTCAGAGGGGAGAGTGGTGGGGGACTGGGGTAGACAGGTGATGGGTATTAAGGAGGGCACATGTTGTGATGAGCACTGGGTGTTATACACAACTAATGAATCATTGAACATTACATCAAAAATATGATGTACTATATGGTAGCTAACTGAACATAATAAAAAATATAAATAAACAAACAAATAAATAAAACAAAACACACACACACACGATAAAACATATCTGCATTCCTGTGTGCATTGCAGGATTCTTTACAATAGCCAGGTATGGAAACAACCTAAGTGTCTATCAAAGCATGAATGGATAAAGAAGACGTGCCAGAAATATATAGGCACATATATTATCCAGCCTTAAGGAAGGACATTTTGTCATTTGCAACAACATGGATCAATCTGGAGGATGTGATACTAAGTGAAATAAGCCAGACACAGAAGGGCACATATGGCACGATCTCACTTATATGTGGAATCTAAGAAAGCTGAGTACATAGCAGCAGAGGGTAGAATGGTGATTGCCAGGAACTGGGTGCAGGGAGAAATGGGGATATCCTGGTTAAGGGATGTGAAATTTCAGTTATATAAGATGAATGAATTTGGGGGATCTGGTGTACAGCATGGGGACTAGAGCTAACAATATGTGCTTGTATACCAGAAATATGCTGACAGCACATCTTCAATGTTCTCATCAAAAATAAATGATAACTATGGGAGGGATGGATGTGCTAATTAGCTTGACCATGGTGATTGGTGATTATTTCACAGTGTCTGCATCTATCAAAACATCAATTTGTACACCTTCAATATATATAATTTTATTTGTCAATCATACCTCAGTAAAGCTTGCTGGGGGGGTAGAAAAAAATAAATTGAATCAAAACCACAGAATTAGATATTAAATATTAATGTGTGCAGCTCAGTGTAAGTAAATAAGAATGAGTTAACATATAATAGTAAAATAGGAACATTTCAGTTCCACACTTCAGATTTTGGGATTTGATCTGTGAGGTTGAGAAGTTGCTTTTCTTCCTGCTTTTCATGGCATTTCTGCCATGCAGAAATTACTTTGAAGTGGATTTTCTTATTCTCTCCTCTATTGACCCTGACCCTGCTTGTTGCAAGTAGACAGAGAAATACTAGCTGTCTTATTTCTCAGTTCCCTTAGCCTCCAAGGACTCACTTCTTGGAATTGCCCCATCTGACCTCACCTGCTCCTCAGCCCAGATCCCCATTAGAGATGCCCTACCTCCAGCATCCACTTCTTGCTGGAGAATGGATTATTCTCCCAATAAGCTAAACAAAGTCAGTGTTATACTTTGGGGTAGAGACTGAACATCTTGTCTATTTCCTAGATAGTAAATTTGGAGTTCACATCAATATTGTGGGAACACCGTGCTGTTCCAAGAGGAGCCGCAGGAACCTAGAGATTTCATACACTGTGACAGGATGGTGGGGGTTGGGAAGGTTGAGCCATTTGCCCAAGCCTGGTGGAAATGGGACTCCCCACTTGGGTCCCTCTGACCCTCAGCTCTAGCCATTAGCCTCTGTGCTATAGAATCACATAGTTATTGCTCCTTCTTCCTACACCTTGGTTCAGTCTGTA